ACTTTTACAAGGTCTCAAAGTTTTCTGGCATTCTTTTAACAAACAGACTTGTGGAATTTCCCAGAAAAGACTTAATTCTCTTAGTTAACAAACTTCTTGTGATCTATTCTTACAACTAGATAGCTGAATTCTACCATTTCCCACAGTATATGAGTTGAATATCAATATAAAAATAGTAACTAGCACATAGATTTAATAAAATTTGTGTTAAATATTGATAAGAAACTTCACAATGTGGGCAAATCAGGGTCTGACTAAAATTCACAGATCAATCTTTACATAAAATGTGTACAAAACACATCTTGTGATTTCTGATATAATACAGAGAGCAAAGCATCAAGTACGAATATTCTTGCCAAAAAGTGCTCCTGAATTTAAGCAAATCCAGAGATCAGAGTACAAGATATTCTGTTTGACAAAGGAACATGTTTTGCATGAGGATGCATACGGTGCAATGTAGAATGTGAATATTTATAGAACAAATATTAATCCAGTCTCTCATCAAAGGAATGACAGTGAACAAAAGGGGGAGATTTATGGATTAACAGAAGAATAGGAGATATTTGAATCAATGCTCTGTATACTTCTTTGGGTCCTAATACAGACGGGTCAAATTTAATACCTATATTTAATTTGAACAGAGATATTGGACATGTCTGTTTCCATGTTCCATTAGAGAATAACTGTAAATTTTTGTAGGCACAGTGATGGTATTTTGGCTGTGTTTCATACACTCCTCATTAGTTAGTGTATGTTACAGTAGAGTCTACGGATTGTATAGCTTGTTAGGTTTCATGCATAAAATCATATGATACATGGAATATACTTTGAAATACCCCAGTTAAAAATGTCAAATGTACTAATAAATATAAAAATTAAAAAACCAAATAACACACAATTCAAGCTGGCTATGCTGGCTCACACTCATACTTCTAGCACTTCAGAGGCTGAGGCAGGAGCACTGTGATTTCCAGGCCAGGGTAGGCTACGTAGCAAGGTCCTGTCTCAAAAGTAGGAACCTAATAACCTCAATGAATGTAAACATTATATGCCATAAACATGAGCTAAAATGAATAATATCAGTAAGAATGAAAATGGGGAAACAGAATTAGAGGAGGAGAGGGGAAGAGATAGGGAAGAGGATTTTAAAAAGGCAGCAAGATGTACTATGTATATGTATCCACTCTGTATGATGATTGTAAAATGCATGTACTACAAACATGTACTAATAAAAGTAAAATAAAATAATTATGCAAAGCAAAACAAGGGCTTGGAGCACTGGTAGCAAACCTCTGGCACGTGTGCTCTAGTGGGCTGTTTGCATAACTAAAAGCTCTAAAAGGTTCACCATCACTGCCTTGGGGTATGGCTTAATGGCTGAGTGTTTGACTAACATGTACAGGTCTCCGAGTTCAATCCCCAGCAGCACCACCAAAACAAAACAAACAAAAAAACACAAACAAGAAACCAAATGAAACAAAACAAAACAAAAAACCATACACACATACAAAAAACAATTGGTGCTTTATTCATTATTGTTAAAGCTGGTTGATGGGGACATGGAATTTTCCATATATTGTTCTGCTTTATTAGAGTAAATGAGAACAAGGGCAGGGGATTTTAGCTCAGTGGTTCCGGCGCCTGCCTCAAAAGCACAAGGTCCTGAGTTTGATCCCTGGTACCAAAAAATAACAACAACAACAAAGAGTGTAAATGAGAACAACTTATTAATAATTTAAGTATATTATGGAAAAATATGAGTGACGATTCTAATGCTGAAAGAGTTGATTATGATCACATTTAGAGCTGTAGCTGGTTGTGTGTCCATGTAGGACTGGGAATAGGTAATTTTTGTTTTAAGAATTGTAGAAATATTTAACGCATTACTTGAGTGGTAAGTATTCATCTTTATTGGAGACCTGTATCAGAATGTTAATATGTAGAAGGAAATTCTGAAAAAAGCACATTGTACCATGAACAATGTCATAGCTGGGGACAGTACACACATTTGGTTTTGGGCCAAAGGTGACTTTCATTAGTTCCCTCAACAAACGTTTGCTGAGCACCTACTATGTGTGAGGCATGGTCTTAATGCCAAAAGTACAGCCATGAAAGAGGCAAAGAAGAGTCCCTGCTTACATGGAGTTCTCATTCTAGTAGGGGAACAGAAAATAGAATTAGTAAGATATATTTAATAAAAGACAAATAAGATACCAACACAAAGAACAAAGTACCCACATCCTGATGGATATCTCCTGAGCTATGCAGCAGAGTAAGCAGGGGAAGGGAACAGTGGGGTGTGAGATCGGGATTTGCACTTTCTGATAGTTTTGCCCAGAAGCCTGGCTGGAAAGGCCACAGTAGAAGAATGACCTGAGGGAGTTGAGGGGACAGCCCTGTGGAGACCTGTGGATGCACAGTGCAATGCCAAGCCCTGTGCTCTGCTTCCTACAGATTCCCCCTATATATAAATCCATTCATCACTGACAAATCCCTGGGATTTTGATGCAAGATGTGCTGTGATGTTTGGCAGTAGGAACTGGTCTGGATTAAGGCCCAAATTTCCGGCATGGCTCACACAGTTAGGACATGGCTTGTGACCTTTGGCACTTTGAAAAACTGAGGCTGGAGCCCAGCACAGTAGGTATGTGCGCTTCTAAAACAAATCTTTTTGGACTGTGTGTATAAACAGCCTCTCACATCAGGGGCTCAGTCTAGTGTTGTAAGCCACTAATAGCTACTTCTATTTTTTTTTTTTTTTAATCCACGGAGCTACATCCCCAACCCTTGTTTACAGCTAAAGGAGTAACAGTGCTGTATAAAATCCAGACTGTTTATTGATTGACACCTGGTGCCAGGTTCAATATACTACAAGGGAGAGGACCTGTCTGTATTTGTGGATGTAGGGCCAACAGGCCATTTAGCTCAGTAACTTCAGGACAACAGCTCAGCTGAGCAGAGAAGGCTGATCAGTGCCTCTGACCACAAGCCCAAAGGCCGGCAGAGCACACTGTGAAGTCACTAAGTGACCACAGTGGATGACATCACAATGGGCTGTGCGCTAGGAAGTCCAGGCCATCTTTGGGGTGAGCTTATTTCTCCCGAGAGTCTGTAGTGGCTGCAAGGGCTTTGTTCTTGTTTTAAATAGTTAAAGTAGACTGGGTTTTTCTTTTTTATGGTGAATTCTTGGGAATATTGGCTTGTATCTGTGGCAAAGGTTTTCAATAGTACTTTCTTTCCTTTTCAGGTCACAGTATTCTAAGAAATCGAACAGTGTGCCACCCTCCCCAGTGTGGGTACAGACTCAGGAGTAGACAGCTTTCAGGCACTGATTTCATACTCCCAATAGGTATGTAACATGATTCGCAGTTGTGTTTATCAAACCCTTCTGTCCAGTAGGCTGTTTCAATGGTCATTCTCTCAGGGAATTCCTGTGTTCCCATCTGAGTGGACGCTGGGTCCACATATACTCACCAGCCTCACTATTAATTATGGTATTTTGAGAATCCTCCCAGTGTGGTTGGAAGGAGCAAACTATTTGATAGGCTCCACCACCCCTGAGCTCAGTCCAGGCTGAAAGCCGGTATTTAAGCAGAGCTGAATGCCTTGCTCTTTAGAGGCATGCCTCTCTCAAATGCCATAATCCAGTTGCTTCTATCACTGTGGAGGTTTGGTAGAAATCATGTGCCCACTAGGAGTCTCATCAGTATCATAGCTCTGTCCTTTAGCCCTCAACAGTGAGCAGAGTAAGGCAGGGTTATTTCAATGAGCTGTGACCTTTTGATGCTATCAGAGTTGTCTGATATGAAGCCTTAGTGCTAAGGACAAATTTGAGGTGGTCCTCCATGTCCCCTGGATTGCTGAGGAAAGACTCTCCTGTCATCCTACACTGGGCACTCTGAAGGCTGATGTGACTCTTTCCTTGTGATATGTATTCTGTGTGGCAGTTTCATTGACACCTAACTGAAATCAATACTGTGAAGGATCAGTTCATGATCCTTCATGAACTCATCTGTCATGTCTTTAAGGGAAGAAAATGGCAGCTGTCCCATCCCAATTGTGTATTCTTTTCTCATAACATACTCAGGGCAGGCTCAAACTTACAATCTAAACAAGACGCTCTTTTCATTTCTTTGTTTTGGCCTGTACTCCCAAGGATCAGAGTGTTGGCCCCCACACACCATCCTAGTGACTTGGGCTAGCTGGATTAGAGTTCATCCATCACTAGTGTATTGTTCTGTGTGGTGTGTCTTTATGATTCTGCTCAAAATCATCTGTGCAGTGAGAGGTAAGGGGCCAAGCATCATAAATCCATTATGACCTCATCAACTTGTCACCTCTCTTTGAGCCAATTATTTTACTTCTCTGAATTATATATCATATAACAAATGGCTCAAATTTATCCCTCTTTATGACTGAGTAGTACTCCATATTGTATATATACTACCTTTTCTGTATTCATTTATCTATTGGTTAGCTTACAGACTCTTTCCAAGGTTTAGCTTCTATGAGTTGTGCTGGTATAAACAGGAGTATGTATGTATCATTGTTAATATAATATCTCTCAATTTTGGGGGGACATGTACAGAAGAGCTTTTCCTGGGTCAAATATAATCTCTGTTCTTAGTTTTTTGAGGTCTCTGTATTACTGATTTTCAAAGTAGTTGTAGTAGTTTACATTCTGACCAACAATACAGAAAGGTCCCTTTCCCCACCATCTCACCAGCATTTCCTTTTTTCGGAGTCCTTGATGATAGCCATGCTTTCTGGAGTAAGGTGGAATCTGGGGATTGTTTTGATTTGCATTTCCCTAATGGCCAAAGATGGTAAAGTATTTTTCACGTACCTATGGGGCATTTGTACTTTTGCTTTTGAGAATATCTATTAATTTCAATTGAGTTGTGGCCGTGTTTCTTCATTACTACTACTTTAACCACAAGCACTTAACCCCACAACCACATGGATATTTAATTTTTATTAAAATAGACATGACTTAGAATTTATAGTATAAAAATTCTTTATTTCCTATTTAATATTATTTAAAGATTTCCTGAAACTATATTTATTATTAAATGTACATTTCTGTTGCAGGTAAATGAAGAATTCAGAGTCCAAGGGTCATAGACATAAAAAAGAAAGAAAAAAATCAAAGAACTTGAAACACAATTCTAGCAATGTGCAAAGCAGGTAATGATACTACCTATACTTTGTGTTTTATCACATTTTGGGGGCTATGGTACAAATTTATCTTTTCAGTTAGAGAAAACTAGGACTCAAGGCAGGCTTTTTGGTAAACTTACATAGATTTTTATTTTCCAAGACAATAAACCTTTTCCATGTGTGAAAAAGATGTAGGCATTAATTTTTTAAATTGTACTGAATGTTTTGTGACAATATGCCACACAAACAAAACTGATTTTGAGACAAAAATTTTATGATGTTAATTAGTATATTGTTATTATATATATGTCTTTTTTTTT